TGAGAGGTGAGGCCGAGTAGGTTTTTGGAAAGGTCTTTTCCCCCCCCTTCAGTGTGACAGGTATTTGGGTGGAGAGGGAGGTTGCTTTTCCCGCAGTATCCCTCCTGTTTCACCCTCTGCCCCAAGTATGTTGTGGGGTGCACAGTAGCTCCATGCCATCCTTGTTGGGGAGGGGAAGGGCACATCCATGACCCCGCTGCTCCCCCCACCATTTGAGGGACACCACTGACCAGTGCTGGGGCAGCACAGGAACCTTTTAGCTGTAACCAGTACATTGACCTGTTTACCAGTCCAACCTCCATGTTCCTGGTAGTGGACATTCCCCACCCCACCCCCCAACCCTTGTCCCCATAGTCTTGCTTACACATGCAGCGTGTCTTCCTCACCCGGATTCCTTGCTAATGTCCCTGCAGCACCCCAGGGACCTGCTGGACTGCAGCCAAGGCTACAGGCTCTCCTGCTGTGCAACCCCAGCTGCAGGCGTGGGGCAGGGCAGCATAGTGAAGGGGTAGCAGGACAGCTTGGCATCCTTGGGCAGCTCTTTGCAGCTGGTCCCAAAGGTGGGTGCCCTTGCATGGTGCACATTGGCTTGTGAGACCCACTTACTTAAAATGCACATATTTAATGGGTGCAAATTTACATGCATATGCAACTGTGCATGCAAATGCACTCAGGCTCTGTGCAAGGTGGGGGAAGTGGCTCCTTCCCGCAAGCTGCCACTGAGCCCTGTGCGGCCTCCTCACAGCCTGCCCAGCTATGGCAGCCTCACCGAGCCGCCCCTGCTTCATCTCCCTCCACGTGCCCTACAAGCAAGGCTGGGCCCAGAACCTGGCCAACACCTTTTGCTTCCAGCCCGTGGCCGTGCGGGAGACACCACGTGTCCGGCAGCTGGCCTTGCGACAGGGATCTGCCATCTTCCTCGTCAATGAGCGCCTGGCGCTGGGGCCTGCCAGTGCCTCCTCCTGTGATTTCCTCTATGATGTGGACCCCCGGCCCACCCTGGGCACGGCCTCCAACATCTGCTTCGAGGTGGACAACGTGCCGGGTCTCTGCAAGAGGCTGCAGAGCCAGGGATGCTCCCTGCTGGTGCCACCCACTGAGGTGAGGGATGATGGCGGCTCTGTCACCTATGGGGTGGCAAGCTCCATCGTGGGCAACATCAGCCATACTCTTCTGGACCGATCCCGCTACCAGGGACCCTTCCTGCCTGGCTTCCATCCCATCCAAGGAGCCCCCTCAGCCATGGAGGATGGGATCAAGATCACCCACTTTGACCACATCACGTATGTCTGCCCACGGGGTGGCACCCGGGCGGCTCTGGACTGGTACCAGCGTTGTTTTGGCTTCCAACGCTTCTTGCTGAACCCGCAGGAGAGGCCAGCTGAGGGGTTCGTGCTCGGGGGGCAGGGGGTGGGCATGCTGCTCCTCGCGCTGCAGAGCACCCAGGGCACCCCGGCACACGGCTGCAAGCTTGTCCTCGCTGAGTCCCTCTCCGAGGACGGCACCAACCAAGTCGACACCTTCCTTGAGCAGCATGGTGGGGCCGGGATCCAGCACGTCGGCCTACGCACCACTGATATCGTCACCACAACCAGGGCTTTGCAGAAGCAGGGTGCGCGGTTCTTCACACCCCCCACCACCTATTACAGCCAGGAGGGAAAAGCAGAGGAGATCCAGGGGGCTGGGCAGGACCCCTGCACGCTGGCAGAGCTTGGCATCCTACTGGACACCACAGCATCTGGTGTCAAGGGCCAGCTGGGCACTGATGCTGCAGAGAGCCCTTCCCAGGAGTATTTGATGCAGATCTTCACCCATCCCATCTTCTCCGAGGAGACCTTCTTCCTGGAGCTCATTGACCGGCGGGGAGCACCGGGCTTCGGGGAAGGCAATATACGGGCACTGTGGAAAGCTATGCAGGTCTATATGGACCAGCAGCAGTAGTGGCAACACTGCAATCCTCCTCTGTCAGCTTCCCATCCTCTCTGGTCCAACACACCCCTGTGGAGATACTAGCGGGTGCCTGCGGCATGGCCCATGTGGGCAGGGACCAAGGGAGGCCTCCAGGTCAACACAGAGCCAACTCAGCATGGGAGCAAGTTGCTCAGGGCCAAGTCCAGGGGGGCTCTGAGCATCCCCCAGAACAGAGGGAGATTTTCCCCTCTCCTTGGGTTCCCAGTGATTTAGTGACCTCTTGTGAAGAAGTTTCTGCCTTAATTTCTCTTAATATAATGAGATTCATGCCTGCAGCATGGCCGAGAACACTGCTGACACAGCAACAACCCCAGACATAGGGGGATGAGGGGCTGCCAGGGGGGAGTGGATAACCTAGGGGCCATGTACATGGTCACTTGTCAGCCATTACCACCCAGAGCATGGCCACCCCCTGTATGGAGCAAATGATGGCCTCTTGCTTCTTTCAATTAAAGAATTCACTTGCAAGCACTGCTTTGGTTTTTTTCTCCTTTCATTTAAGATGTGCCAGGCAAGGATGAAAGGGCCCTTTCAGCCCCTCGAGGCAGGCTGTCCCCAGTCCTGTAGTCCCTAAATTGAGGCCACTTGCCCCTTGCACAGTCCCCAGGACTGGCCCCTGGCCCCGCCAGCCCTTGGGCTTGTGCCTTTGCAAGGGTGCTGCTGTGCATCACAGTCAGGGAAAGCCCCAGCGTGAACACGGTGAGGAACAGCCTGATGGAAAATGTTAAAAAGGAGGATAAAACCCTACGAAAAGCCCAGGGGATAGCTGCTTGGCCCCACAGAGGAGCAGTCAGGGGGCTGGAGGCTAATGCTTTGTCTCACAGGAGAGGTGCTCTGGGCGCCTTATTTGGGGTCACCAGCAGTTAATGCTCAGCCAAGGGGCTAATGGGTGCATTGACAAAGAAATCCCTGCTGTCCCTAGCAGAGATGTAGGGATGCTGCCGGCCATCCTCAAATTTGACCACAGGCTGCCTGACAGCCCCAGCTTAGCGCAGTGCAACAGAGGCAGAAAGTCACTTAAACCCCAACACACTTTATTAGAAAGCCTGTGTCTCAGGTTCTGTAAAAACAAGTGTATAAAAAGGGCTGGTGAAGGCAGGGGAGAGTACAGCAGCATCCACAGTCACTGGCTGGTGGACGAGGTGCAGGTGGGCAGGCAGAGACAGGGCTATGGGAGTGATACGGCCACAGCCTTCCTGCTGCTGTCAGTCAGCAGTGCTGGAGCGCTGGCTGTACGAAATCAAATAATCCCAGGAGGGCTCCAGCCAATGGGGGAGGGCAAGCCTGGCTCCAGGTCACATCCAGGACCATAGTGGCCACATCAAGGCACAACTCCCATGGGAGAGCTGGGGAAGCCGATGGACTCTGCAAGGAGTGGGAGACATGGGCAGGACTTGCCGCAGCACAGGTCTCTGGTTGTCTCGCATGTGGAAGGTGCTATCACAGGGCAGTTGGTGCCTGGAGGAAGGTGCGGAGGGAGAGCTGTGTCCCAGAGCAGGTGCTGCCCGCTGCCTGTGTTTTTGCCCCCCGCTTCCGCTTGGAGCCCTGTGGAAGACACACAGCAGGGCAAAGTCAAACCCCAAGGGCCCCCATGGCTTCCAGGGATCCCCTCTGGAGCAAGGGACCCCTGGTACTGTGGACATCCAGGGGCAATGCCAGCCGGGCAAATCCCCAGACGCAGCCCTGCCCCAGGCTGGGGATGCTCCTTGGCCTGACCCCAAACCCCAGGGGGGGTTCCAGCACCACACACCAGAGCTGGCCCACAGCAACAGGAAGTAGCTCCTGTGGCCCCACATGCCCTCCAGGTGATGCTCACCTTGCCAGGGCTGCTCTTCTTCCCATGCTGCTTCTCACATGCTTTCAGCACCTGAAGAAAGCACAAGAGAGCCCAGAGCTGAACAGCAGAAAGGTCCTGGAGCTGGGACAGCCTGCAGAGGTTGGGGGGTGTCAAAGGCTCTCCCAAGGAACCCAGGAAGACGGAGGGAAGGGATAAAAGGCCCTGGTGTCGCCAGTACCTTCTTCATGGCTGTGGACACAGCCGAGGCATGGAACTCCTCCTCTGTCACCCAGCGGGACGGGGACAATGCAGGGTCCAGGGTCACATCCCCATCCAGGGGCAAGGAGTAGACCACATACGTCTGGTGGATGTGAGAGAAGATGTGCACAACCTGTGAGGGGGTGGGAAGGCATATAAAAAGGGTAGCTGGCAGGCAGCAGGGGATGCACTGCTCAGCTGCCCCACAAGTGCATTGAGTCTGCCAGGGCTCTGAGGGGTTGGGCAGGGCTTGGGAGGAGTGAC